ACCTTTAGAGATGAAAACCCAGAAGTGAGCCCCTCCTTCTCCCTTGAGGTTGTTCCTTCAGGGCTGTGTGGAAGAGACACCATTTGCCCGCCTGAACGCAGAGCAGTTTAACCCATTTAGGGAAGCCTTTCGCCTTCTTTCTCCTCTTCTGCGCTTGCGTGATTTGGTGTTATTGAGGATTACCTGTAACATAGGTTGAGCGGTATCCTGAGACGCTCTCCAGTCCCCGATGTTATATATATAGATCATGAATATAAATTACAAATTTTCCAAGTTTTACCTGTTACCAAGAGACTTGTATGTCGCGCAAGACCTGAGTCCTGGAAATTACTTATTCAATGGTAGTAGGTATACCTACTAATATTAGTGCGACTAACATTTTTCGTGAATATGACATGTACTTTCGTCTTTATACACACTCCTATAAATTACTATCTTTGTCAGATGCAACTTTTCATTTTTCAAACCTGATGTATACTTCTTTAAATGAATCAATACATTACCTACCAAAAGTTTGATCATAGTGAGTCACATACACGTTTTTCTTTTGTTTAGGAATAAACCAACTCCACCACCTCCTCTACCTCCACACGCCCATCCACCCATACCGCCTGAACGGCATAAGATACAAATAGAAACTGCAATCGACGAAGACTACAGACCGCCAGTACCTCCCCATCGAAATATCGGCGTGACTGCGCGCATTAGCTCGTTAGAGTCACCGCCGCCTCGTAAGCACCATCATCATCACCATCGCGGAGGTAAACATTCGCAAGACGCGAACAAATATGAAAATCATCCACCTCCAGAAAATTGTAAGCACTTTAACGTCAATGAGAAACTCGACGGCGATTGCGACTTTAAATACGCGGAGGATACCGAAAATCCACCAAAAAATGTTTTCGAGTTTGACGATGAGCCTGTCGCTATATCACCCGTAGAAAACCCTGTCAAAATTCGACACAAGAACTTACAGAATGGCAATGAAGATGACGTACAATTCGTGCATTTACCACATCTAGACACAAGTGGAAACGGTAATAGTTATCTTAAATTACGCTTATAATTAAAATTAGTACATAATATAGGGAATAGGAGTCCAAAAGTTAAAAGGGCAACTATTGTAGGCAATCCAATGTTTAGTACTGAAGACCAGTTAACGAAGGACGACGTACCCGCAGAGTTATCCGGTTTAGACGAATTAGGAATGGATTATGAGCAAATTATGCACTATTTTGATAACCTTAAAGTAAGTACAAAGAGTAAGATGTACCGATATAAAACATCATTCAGAGAAATGTTTGTTCCAGGAATCGAATGCCTGAGTAGAAGAGATCATTGCAAAAATCCAAGACATTCTGTTGTCGTTCAGTGAACAATATCGAGCAAGTGCACTTAACGGCAATATTATGTGCGGGAATGTGAATCAAAGTTTTGAATACTTCTTTGATTATTTAAGCGAGTCGTATGCTTAAATGTGACAAGCTAGTTAGATGTCGGGTCAATTACATTTTAGCCTTGCCTACATCTGTTAATAATACATTAATTAGCGAAGACTGATTATTATTTATTCAAATATGTAGGTAAATCATTAACATACAATCAGAAGTAGGATCGAAAAGCGAGGCAATAAAAATATATGTAATAAGATAAACAAGGCGACCTGGCTCAATAAGAAAATGCGTGGTTTACATACACAGGGTAATTTTTTATTGAAACCATCTTCTTTATTTTACAGTAAACATTGCACATACGAAATAAAGAAGAGCACGATATAGGTTTACCAGTAAATTGCCCTGTTAGTGAGGTAAAAACTAGAATTTGGCGGTAGTTAAGTTAAAAAAGCGAATGAATGGATATTTGCAGTGATCAATTCAGTCATCTAGTCATAGTACTTAAGCTTTATTTAAAATTGTAAGTGGTTTGTACCATTTGTACCCTAACCTGCCATATTAATGTACCCAAAAATTGTAGCAATTGCACAAAACGGTTCCTAATCCGCTTTTAACATTTACCTAAGATATACGACAAATTCTATCTGTGTTTACCATTTATTGTTTTATTATTATTATTATTTTTTATTAATATGTACTATAATTTTCATAATGTGTTACTGTCATTTGTGTAATTACTGTAAATAATGTAAAATACTATTACGACTGATATTTGTGCACTTAGGCATAAGTACATATATTAATTTATAAAATTAATTCGACACAAATTGTCGCTGTACTATTTATCGAAATACAAATTCTCGCTAACTCTATTGGAAAAATTCAAGAGTCGTGAAAACAAATTTATAATACTATATGTGGCGCTTGCACTAAAGCTTATTATGCACAAGCCGACTACCAGTATGGCACACTATTTTACTATATTAACAATTTGGAATTAAAATTCAAAACTTTTTCTTTATTTGTCCGTCAAAGCTGAACAGGAATTGGCATCAATTATTTAAGTTAGTAAATGGTAAAGTAGGATTCCATATGATAAGGTTTCAGGCCAGTGCAAATCGTCCCCTTTCTATCTTAAACTTTAACAGATACTGTTTAAAATAGTATTGTAAACTTTTTTTACATTGATATTGCACAAAAGCTTCTAAACCAGTTTGGACAGTGGTATTTTTGAAAAATTTGTATTTATAAGGATAGACGCATTTAATGTTAATGTTTTAGACTATATTTACTAAGCTGTTGTTTCATTAAATTTTTTTACTAAACGCGAAAAAGTGAAAAAAACCTTAATTTACGAAAGATGTGTACAAATTTAAAAACTAGTTTGGCTAGATAATCGTTACACAATAAACAATCATTTCTAGTCTATATGGAAAATGTGAGTGTAAGCCTTTGTGACAAAAAAAATTGATGTTAGATCTGTTACATACTGAAGCAGCTTTTGTAGCTATTCATGCCGGCGAGAGCTTTGGTAGTTTCTTACCATCATAGTGTTGCAAATTAATAGATGTATATAAAAAACTAACTGATCCTCAAAAACCCTATAGATATAGGAATATCAGATACTATGTGGTTCATAATGTCGAGAATTAATTTTATTATTTCACAAGTACAAATATAAAATCAAGTATTATACTAATAAGCTTCCTTTGTACCTCTTAATTATATGTATTAACAAATATTCTTATGTATATAAATAATTTGCGGTTTAATCTAAATATGCAGATAGTTTTTGCTAAATGTGTAAATTGTACATTTCTTTAATTTACATTCCTCAGTAATACTGCATCTTTGTTTTCCAAGAGTGTGCGCAGCTTTACCAGTTATTCTGATAGGCAAGGTGCAATTAAATAACCGTAATAATAAAGGTGCTAGAATATGTCAATGCGAAAATATTTATACGAATTTTGCTTCTTGTGGTGAATATATAGTTGATAAATTCTAGCATACGCCGTTGTTCTTTTGCAATATTTTATTTTGGAAGTTAGGTGCATTCAATAATTGATATTCGAGAGAAACAGAATACTGCTATAATGCATATCATCTGCTAAAAGGAACTGAAAGTGTGCAGGAAAACGAAACTGATTTAATAATAATATTTATAAAAGATTGTATGTTTTTGTTTGTTATTTTCTCTTTTGTGAATTAAAATTATCATGTATTTATGTAAAATATGTAAGTTACCACTTGAACTATATGAAAAATAAATTATTTGTAATGTCTTATGTGGTGTTGTTATGTTTCATGCATCTGTTCAACATTGTTTAAAACGTATTTGTAATAACGAAGTTCATTTGTAAAAATTTCCAATTCAATGAACCAGGAGGACGAGTAAGACTAAGCGAATATGTCTACTAATGTGGTGGGAATTCTACAGCGTGTAGGCCACCGGCCAGGGAGCATCTTATATGGGTGCAAGACCTATCTGTAGTGTCATAGTGGGGGGAGATCTAAAATGCTGAAAGTGTCTTAAGAATTTGGAACCCAAGGTGTAGAGGATGGAATCGCCACAAAAGAGCCGCGGACAAGTAAGCCAGTAACCATTACATAACTCAAGAGCTACTCTAGAATTATTAACTGCGTAAACATTATCAATATATATATCAAGAGAAAGTCCACCCAACAAACATTAATTATATAAAAGTAGGTATAAATATGTACAAGCTTGTTAGAATTATGTAATATTGGGAGATGAATAAGAGATATTTCATATCAAAATGTCAGCAATTTTCTAAATACCAAATCTGTATATTTTATGTAAATTTCTTGATGTAAATATACATCAGTATTATATATATATATAATGTAAATTTTTTTATGTAAATATACATCAGTTTATATATATATATATATGATGTAAATATTTGTACTAAATAAACATATAGAAATTTATGTAAATACGATATATTCATTTTTACTTAAATACAATATATTGAACAAAATGTATATTTTATATTATATAATAGATTATAATACTAGTTGACGACATTAGAAGAATCAGGGTTGCGTTTATCTGGTTTTAACCTTAATTTTGACAAACGGAACCATTCGCTACCAATGACTTCAAACTCTTTTAATGTTATATTATAGTTGACTTGGATCTGATCTGCAAAATAATGTACATCATTTATAAACATCTCAACAAAAACAATAGTACCTTTTAGGACAGTTATTGAAGATAGATCACAAACGCGAAAATTGCCTCGTTGGCCTAGCCACGAACATTTGGTAGCAGCTTCATTAGAGAATATTGATTTCAAACATCTGTGAATATTATCTTTCACATTCCTACCTCCTATAGAGGATATAAAATTTGTCTGAAATAATTTAAATTTGCAGAACACTTTTATACCTAAATATACTTACAAAAATTTTCTTTTGTTCATCATCCCCAAGAAATATTTCAAATTGATTTATATCATCTGTGCTGCTTAAGGGCAACATTTTTCTTAAATCTTTCAGTGCATCATGATTATTGACACTCTCAATTTTTCTTGAATTTTCCATTTTCTCTAGTCGTGCTGATATACCTTTTACATATAAGTTCGTACTTACAAGTAGTTCATATATTTTATCTAGAAAAAAATACAAACATATAATTACCATAAGAAAAAAATAAAATAAATGCTTACCTAACGTATAACCGTACGAATTAGTGGCAGCTTGTACGGTACCAATAAAAGCAGATTCGTAAAAGCCATAGCATACAGTGTTCCAAAATTAAGTACAAATATTTTAAAGACATTATAAACGTGCATATATTAGGCAACTTCATATATTTAAAATAATTCTAGGTTTGCCGTGAAGTATAAAGGAATATATTTTACCAGACTCGACGATGTTATCTGCAATTATAACTGGCATTTGTTCTAGATTAATGGGTGATGTTGAAGGTGAAGTATAGACTAAAACTTCTTCACACATTTGTGGTGGCGGTGTTCCACTTCGACTTGTTGAATATTCTATCATTAAATTGGCATTAGACATATGTTTGATGAAAGGAATATTTAATTTACCTTCATCACTTGTAATAGCTAGTTGGGAATCCACATATTTTGGATTTTTCTTCCTGTTGCGTTGGACTTCCTCCGAAGAGGTATAATCTTCATTTTCAGCCCTTTTTCTGGCTTCTTCTAAAGTCGCTAAAACAAAGTTTATATGAGTAGTTCGTAAATTAAAGGACGTAGCAGGATAAGAATGGTCAATTGGCCCCCGTCGAGTTTGATTCTATCGAGCCGATAATATCGAAGGGGATCTCAAAACAAAATTTTAGAAGATATCTGCAACTTCTTATTTTCTTAAGAATTCTCTATACTAAGAAAAAATGTGATTTTCCTTCGATATTATCAGGTCGATAGATTCTAACTCGACGGGGGCCAATTAACCATTCTTATTCCGCAACCCCCTTTGAAGTGATGATTAACACAGATGTACAAATCATGGTACAAGCAAAATCAGTAATTTAAAGCCACCATTTTTCGTACCTACACAATGCAGTAAAATTCATTACAATTCACTAACTAGAAACCAAGAAAAAAACTTACAAAAAGTTCCTTCAACTCTTACACTGCATAAACTCCATTTTGCGGGGTCGGGTTTTGCTCCACGTTTTATAAAATTTGAAGGTGTTTTACTCTTTGGCCACCAACACTTAGTGTTATTGTGGGACAGCCAAAATGACGGGATTTCCGAGTAGCTGTCCTCTTCATCCAGAAAGGCAACCACCGCATACGACTTGTCCTGCATCTAAACGTCAATGTTACTTAATTTTCAGTTCATCAAAAATTTCACTAATGAATTATTAATGTTCATGTTCATCGATTTGAAAATTCCTTAAACTACTAGTTGCATATATGCTAAATATTAAGCTTTCAGTGGAATCAGTGTTTTTAACTAAAATTTATATTATAAAAAGAAAATAATAACTAGCAAGAAAAACGAAAAATTAATCTCTCCAATTGCCGTTGTTAATCTACATGCAGTAGTGTTAGCATTACATCCTTATCTGAATTGGTCTTTAAAATAATGCATTTCTGTGCAATCATTGTTACTGGTATTTCCGTAATATCTATTGCACCTTTGTCTGAAGAAAGCTCATATATATTTAAATGTGAGGATGCACATGGAACTTTGAAAAAGTCTTTCTTGGATAAATACATATGAATTGAAGCATAGATATGAGAATTTAAGTGAAAAAAATTAGTAATTAATGCTACATGGCCATCATTTAACAAACAACAGTTATTTGGTTGTCGGTGAGTTAATTTAAAAGATTTAAATTGCAGTGAGTGAATTTGTCCATTTTTTTCCACAATTTTGGGATAAACAATAGGTTCCACATTGTGAACTAAACTTATTTGATTATTCTTCTCCATAATCCGATTAAATATTTGTTGTAAAGGATTAGAACCAGTTTTGAGGTTTTTTTTTTATCTCGCACATATAATTTTCAAATTTAAATGCACTATAATTATCGAGGGCACCAAATATCTTGACATCATTACAAACGTGAATAAGGTTATGAACGTTATAGGACATATAACGTTCACCATATAAACCAGAATATTTTTTTACAAAGTGCAACAAAAGTTTCTCAGCGTACTCTAAATATTGTTTGATTAATTCACTGTTACACAAAATACGAATAGCCACACTTAAACACAAAAAATGTTCATAATATTGTTCACTCAGTATATCTTTCAAGGCAATTACACCACCATACATTAAAAAAAACGCAATTCTGTGGCCTTCCAGCGATCAATTTCAGATACACTTCTAGGCATTCGACTAAATTCGCAAGGTATTAACTGCCTGTACGACATATATTTCTTATTTAAAATTTCCTTAGAAGTATCTCCTAAACGTAAATCTTTTTTTCCATTTATCCAAAACTGGAGCATCCTTTTGACAACTCCCAGACACACAAGGTGCATGTAATCAAGTGGAAGTTGAGTTACCATGCCAATATTTAAACTGTGATGTAGTATAGTATCCGATTTATGATGTTCTTCCTGAATTTTCTGTAAAAATGAGACATCTGAACGCAGAGTTGCATTTAATTGGGGAAATATGACTCTATTGTCAGTAAAAGTTCCTTCCGTAGTACACTTGGAACATCCAAAGTATCCAGTGTGACTTTTAATTCCTGCTATAAATGCTCTGGCAGGAGCATCACATATGATAGCATTTATCTTAATGGATATATGATTATTATTTACATAAATTCCATTCATTAAAAGTCCCTTGGCCTCATCACAAAAAGGTTTCAAGTATTCATTTGCATCTGATGGTTTCTTGGCACCATAAAACAAACCTACAATAAATGGTTCTGTGTATGTGTCCTTTATACAAATCGCACCTTGAATTGGCCACAATTGTGAATTTGAACTCTTCGATATAGGTAGTCCATCGATGTTAAAGTTAATGCTGACAACTGGAGATGTATAATTATAATGTACTAAAGAGTGATGTAACATCTTCTCGAAACCAAAATGAATATAATGTCCACCTGCACAACTGTTCACGATACTTGATGTATTAACGGGTGTTTTCATGAACGTGCGAACGTCCCTTGGTAAAGAATTATGCCCATTATCACGTAGCAGGGGTAATAAATCATTTACGAATTGATGCGATACATGATGTTTTATAATTAAAGCACGGAGGTCACTTTCAAAATTAGATACAATTTTATGTGATGAAACGGGATGGTAAACAGATATATCTGAGGATTTTATACTAGCATCAGCTGTAGATAAAGTAGACGATGACAATGTACTATCAAATATTTCACTATGCTCGTCAATTGTTACAGCTTTTGATGTTGACGGTATAGGTTCCTGCGTAGTTTCTTGGGTGCTGTGAACAATATCTGTAGAAGAAAGCTGTGATGCATGAACCGAACGATGATGTAAATGTAAATGGGAAAGCACTCTTCGTCTTTGTTGTCGGGTAGTCAACTCACTAAAATCTTTAATTTTACGCTCGTTATTCATCATTCAAGTAACTAAAATAAGCATCAGGTTTATTTATACCTACACAAGGAACAAACAATTCCCGCTCAGAAATTATGGTATATTTAAGGTTAGGAAAAATTAGCATGTGAAGAATAAAATTATACTAACCTCTAATACTATATCTTCAGTTCTTCACGTCGGTAGACTAACACAGCACAAAATTTATAAATACAATAGTACCTAATCAGATTCAATAATGAATATTGTATTTATAATAAAAAAAAGACGTAAATTATCACTAATCACTGTATAACGGTAATCAAGCAGCGTGCGCTTGCGCTAGTGCTGAGCTGGCTGTCGCCTCTTCAGTTAATTTTATGTATATCGGATGTAGCAAAACATACAGTACATGGTGGGTAGCAGATATCTGACATAAAATGTACATTTTTTTGGTGACATTATTCATTAAGTATATCATATACTCATATGTATATATTAAATACATAAATTTGTTATGTAATGTTAATATATTTAGTATTGCTGTAATTCATACAACTCTTTTTTGATATATGGGCTACATATAGTTTTTTTATATATAATATATATAAAAATTAATGAACTCCTAAATAACATAGTAGTTCTGATATATATGATACATAAAAAACTAAATATATAAGTTTTTATCTTAATCTTACATATTTGTTATGTATGTTTTATATGTCTGTTTATTGGGTCTCATGCAGTTCCGATGCCAGTAGGTTATATTGTTATCAAAAATGAATTCCCTGACCCCAAAAACATAAGTCTAGACACCTTACACGACCCGGTGTGCCTTAAAAATAAAATTCGATCAAAAGTCTGTCATTTTCTAAAAATGGCGGCTTTTCACGGACTTCCGGTATCCGGATTACATTTCTGGCGCTACCATTGGATTCCTCGGGTTAAAATCATACGACATCGACATCCAGATCTCGTCTCTAGGCCATATTTAGTTTTTAAAAAAATGTTACAATAAATCACCCCTACCCCCTCTAAAATCTACCCACACGGAAAATGTCAAGTGTTCTTCAAGTCAAATCGTTTAAATGGCTCTAAGGAACAACTGTACCAAGTGGCACCTTGGTATAAAAAAATGCAGTATCTTTCAAGAATTTCCGTTATACCGCTAGTACTATAAGGGAGCGTCTTCCAGTAGGTCAGTTTATGGAAACTTTAAGAACTTCATTAGTTGAAAAATGGTCATATGAGCGAAATCCAGAAAACCCGAATTACAAGCCATTTTTTTCAACTATAAAATTGACAACAAAACTCTGGACTGATGCATACCAATGGGTAAAACTTAAACCAAAAATGTTTGAAGAAAAATCCAATGAGAAGACTATCTATTATACAAAATCGACGAATGCGACAGAAGTTTTAAACCAAGAAGAAATGCAGACTTGGAAGAACACCTATCTTAAATGGGAATGTTTTGATGATTTTCGAAAATCTCAAACAGTATTAAAATTAGCTTGCTACTCTGAAAATGAAGAGTTAGTGTCACAGTGTACTTGCTCAAGATTTTTGAAAGAGTACATATGCGAACATTCATTAGGCTTATTAGTTATTTTAGGAAAAGCCAAAGTACCCATTGAAGCTAAAAGTGTTCCACTTGGACAAAAGAGGAAGAGAGGGCGGCCAACTACAGCTAAAAAGGCATTAATAATCCAATAAATGAGTATTTAGTACCTACAGATTTGTACTATAGCTATTTTTATACTTTATATATGCATAAATATAATAATCTACTATAACTTTATATTGCATACTTTTAAAGTTGGAATGTATTTGTTCAAAGTGCGAGTCTATCATTTTGTAGAACATACTAATGAAGCTGCATAAGTCTTTTTTAAAGTGCAAATACACCATTTTTTAGTGCATAAACGCAAAGCTTTAGCATTTTTTCCATTTGTGTTACTCTGTCATGTTATAGTTGATTGGTCCGAAGTTAGATACATTTTATTACAGTGCACTTATATATTGCCCCTTAAAAATACAACAATACTATAAATAAACATAACATGTTCATATGAGGAAATTTAAGAAAAACTCTTGCAAGTGTTTCACTTAGTACCACTGGTAGTAACTGAGCCAACACTAAATATTCTGATGGTACAAACTGAGCCAACACTACATATCCAGGGAAACATGTTCTGATATGCCAAATAAACAAGCAAACAAAACAAACAAAGTATGTAATACAATAAAAACAACGTAAATAACAATAAGTAGTTTTAACGTACGTTGAAACCGTCAAAATTTATTTCAAATTTAAATATGTTTGATTGTCTTTTAGTTTGCGATGCTTTTGGGTTTGGTAAAACCATAGTTAGTACGTCAGATTTATTAACTGATGCAATATCTACGTTATTCGGATATAAGAAAGAATTTGAACACTTCTTTCGAAGGAATTTAACTTCGCAATCTCCCACTTCATCTAAGTCAGTTAAAACATTGGCTACATAATGAACTCCACCTGTAAATTTTACTAATATGAAACAACCTTTTACAATGTTCATATCATCAGTGAAGTAGCTGTTCTCGTCTTCTTGCTCAGGCTCCCAGTCTGAAGAAGAATCTTTATAGTCCACAGTTTCCTCTTCGTCACTTGTTAGGTTTTCTTCTATTGCTATTTTTCTTTTCTTTTTTGTAGGTTTTTCCTTAGCTTCATCTAGTACTACAGCGATGGTTTTTTTGTTCTTTAATTTGGCTGCTTTTAAATTTTCTTTTTCTTCTAATATTTGCTTTTCGGCGGTATTTGTTATTATAGAACTCTTGCCTTTTGCTCTTGCTCGTCTTAACTCCCACTAAGCAAAGTAATATTTTGTCAATGTTGAAGCAATGTTGTATTGTAATGTGCAATATTGCTTTTAATCATAATGTAATGTTAGTGCAATGTTGTAGCAACCCTAAATCTATCGTGAAAAAACATTGCATTGCAAGGTACTAATATTGCATGAATGTTGATATTTGAATGTTCAAACAACTTTGCTTTTACTGGGTTAAAAAATGGTTTCATTATCATATTGCTGTGTTAGTACGAGATCAATATTGTTATCACTTTTCAGTAAAAGGTTTCCGCAACATGGTGTGATCATCAATCAGATCGGCAATGTATTCCTTACGTTAAACTGAAACGTGCATGTATGTGCTGACATTTATTTTGTCATACAAACTTGTATACAAAATAATGTCTCTCACATACAGATACAATAATTGTACGTTAGTTTAGTAAAAGGAATCACAGAGCTAAATGTTAGAAACAATGCAGCTACAGATTAGATCGCTTCCGTTTGAAATGAGACTGTGATGAATTAAAAACTAAACATTTATTTTATTTCATTATTGTAAAAACAAAAAACCTCATTAATCTTCATCTAGGTGTATACATATAAATTAATTGTTTATGGTTTTTGACGGGAAAGCCGCACTGACGCGTACTGGAAAAAGTTCATCGTCGTCTCTTTAAACTTCGCTTCCGTGAAGCTTGACGGATGTGCTCTTAAAACTGCATCTACAATATATTAAATTATTTACATATTTTTTCACTGGGTTATGGTTACCCTTGATAGCAGCAATTATTGCTGTACTTTCCAATGCTATATTGCCTTTTTGCCCCTTCCAACTCAGGAATGATCCCACAAAATTTGAAAAAACTTTTCGGAGGATGTTCTTTATACATTTTTCCAAATTCTCCCCACCTATACGTTGCACAAACGTAACCTGTGAATCAAAGCGTTACATGATTTAGTTTAGATATTTATTGTACAGAGAGTTTTCACTTACAAACTGCTCTTCAAAGCCTTTGTTGTCTTTCAGTTGTTTCTCGAAATCTCTAAACTGCTCGACAGTTTCCAGAGGAAATTGCGGCAATAAATCCAAGTCACGTGACGGAACTGCTAACGCGAGACGATCCAAAATGGTGTTCAGCTTGGCTTCAATCGATATCAATCTCGATTTGGTATCTACATACTGAGTAATCAACTCCTTCATTAGCTTACCTGAAAAAACGTGTGATATAAATGAAAATGTATCATCTGTGGGTGCATTATGGAAGTCGACAGTGGTTTCTTTGTCCTGGTCAGGTACCATCTCGGGTACCACGGTATCATTCATGTCGTCATCAAACTCTGCTATATTTATATTATTCAGATCTTCCGGCTGATGAAATATGTGGGTGCTTCTTTGAATTTGTTTAGGCGAACTTGGTGGTACTAAGCGACTGCTATGAACTTTTGCCGTAATTGTTTTTTTCCTTTTTTTTGTGAACGGTAGGAAGATTCGCTACCACTACCTGATGATTCATGAGTTGAATATTCCGATGCAGAATCTTCTAGGTCTTTTTCCTTCCCTAAAATGTAAGTACAAAAATACATTTCGCTATTACATATTCATTTCACTCAACCTTTATATTTGGTTAATGTAGGAGGTGGTGTTAAGCAGCTGTCTCTGTATTTTTCATTAGGTTTAGATGTCCTTTTTTTGGGCTCATCTTGCTCTGTACTGAAAGATTCAACCAGCTTCGTTTCGTAAAAGATTGCCTCTTTATATGTTTCTGAAAAAAGAAGTAAAAAAAGTGTTATTGCCTGCCTACACTGAGGGAAAATTCTACTAATGGTTAGTATAAAAATATACTAAAATAGAGGACTAGAAGAACTTTTACTAACAGTAAGAATTTTGGTTTGTTAAGGTTTTGTATACTAGCAGTTAGTAAATTAATTAATAAATATATAGATAAATAATGTTGTAGTTATTAATAAACAAGATAATTACCATTAGTAATATGTTGTACTTCTACGTAGCAAATAGTATAATACTTTAAACGAACAAATATTCTAGTTATTACCAAAAATATACTTGCTATAAGCATACTGTTTCACAAGTAGTACGAAAATACTATACTTACCTTAAATATATGCAATACTTGCCATTAGTAGTATGGTAGTACTGATTAGAAACATCTTTACTTATTCTAAATATAAACATATGTTTACTGCAAAGAGTATGTGTATTAACATATTTATTTTTGAAAAATCAAAAAACTGTACTGTTCACAGATTGAAAACTGTTCTGTGAGTCACTTTTATCCTACACATGTGTGCCTGATGTGAAAGAAAACATAATATATTTTCAATAATAACCTTTATTACCTATCGTATAAAACCTTACATATTATACAATTTCACAAATGCATTTGTATGCAATACATGAAGATCGTAATTT